CAGCAGCCAGAGTGTGGGAGAGCTGCTTTGGATCGCTCTCTTTTTCTGACACACTTTGTTTCTCTCTCCCTCCCTTTGCTCCCTGACACCTTTATTCCTTCTTGAATAACTTTTCCCCCTGCACGTTGCCCTCTGTTTCTCTTCTTCACCCCTACCCACAAAACGTGCTCACGTCCCCCATCCCTTCACCCTGGGCACCATTTTTGTGCCCCTTTTTCCTCTCTCTCTCACACCTGCGCTGTTCTTTCTGTCCCTCTCCCTCTCTCCTCCGCAGGGGCTGTTAGAGCCTCTAGTATTTTCCCGATCCTGAGTGTGATTCTGCTTTTCATGGGTGGACTCTGCATTGCAGCCAGCGAGTTCTACAAAACCCGACACAACATCATCCTTAGTGCCGGCATCTTCTTCGTGTCTGCAGGTAAAGGGATGCACAGGAGATGGGGTCTTGCAGGGAGGGAGACTGCCCAGCTGGGGCATCCTGCAGGGCTCCTAAGCAAGGAGAACGTGTGTTTCACAGCCCCGATGAGCCTTATTCAGAGTGAAAGCAACCTTCCAAGGATGCCTTTCCTCCTCACATACTTGTCTGGCAGAGGCAGGTAGTAGTGCCCTGCAGGCAAGGGCTTTTCTGCTGCTTGGGAGCTACTGGAGGGGGAGGGTCTCCCTTTGTCCTGCATCTCTCAGGGACCAGCCAGGAGTGTGGTCCAGGGATATGGCAGGCATGCAAGGAGAGTCTTGCCCAGGTTTCCCAAGGAAAGTTGCCCACTGGGAGGGGGTGGGTGGCTGGGGTCCATCCCGTCCCTGCCTCCTGAGGGAAGGGGCTCAACCCCACAGCCCCTGTCACCACGCTCGGCCCTCCTAACTTCTCCCTCTCTCTCTCATTCTGCGGCCGACCGGCAGGTCTGAGTAATATAATTGGCATCATCGTATACATATCAGCCAATGCTGGAGACCCCTCCAAGAGTGACTCCAAGAAGAACAGCTACTCCTACGGCTGGTCCTTCTACTTCGGGGCCCTGTCCTTCATTATAGCCGAGATGGTGGGAGTGCTGGCCGTACACATGTTCATAGACCGGCACAAACAGCTGCGTGCCAACGCTCGTGCCACGGACTACCTCCAGTCCTCCGCCATCACCCGCATCCCCAGCTACCAGCCTTCACACTCCAGGGATGCCTCTCCCGTCGGGATCAAAGGGTTCAACACCCTCCCATCAACAGAGATCTCGATGTACACCCTGACCAGGGACCCGCTGAAGGCAACCACTACCCCTACCGCCACCTACAACTCCGACAGGGATAACAGTTTCCTCCAGGTTCACAACTGTATCCAGAAAGAGAACAAGGACTCTATCCACACCAACACAGCCAACCGCCGGACCACCCCGGTATGAAGCCGTTGCCAGGAGCTGAAAATGGGGCAGGAACGGGCAGGAGGAGATGGGGTGGGCTGCGGGGTGGGGAGGGTGGAAGCGGGCAAGGAGTCAGCAGGGGGGGTGGGAAGGAAGAGGTGGAAGCGCCCCTTGGGGGGGTGGGGACCTTCCCAGCTCAAAAAACAAAAATCCACAAAAAAGAACAAAAAAAAATGTACGAACAAGCAGATAAGCAGACAAACAAGTGAGTGAACAAAAACAAACAAACAAAAAGGAAACGCAAGGAAAGAGACAACAGTGAAAAAAATTCTTAAAAAAAAAGAAAAAAGAAAAAAGAAAAAAAAGAAAAACTTTAAAACAGAGAGAAAGAAATTTAAAAAATAGAAATAAATTTAAAAGAAAATGCATGATGTACCATTATTTTAACATTTAATAAAAACAGACTTAAAAAAAAATAAAAGGGAACCAAGAAATAACAAATGACAATAAATCAAGTGGGAGGAGGAGGAGGCAGCTCTTTGGATTTTGGGGGGTTTTATTCTTTAATTTTACGGTTTGTTTCCACTTACCTTTAACCCAGCATGGGCTCCTTGGGGGACAGGTGATGGAGGCTCAGCCAGCAGTGACTTCAGTGTCCTTGGGCCGGTTACAGAGGATCCCGGGTTGCCGGGGTCAACCACGGCCCGCTCCGCTCCCCTGGGACTCATGGGGATCTACTTGTCCCCGACAAGTCTGTAGGGGAAAGTAACTCCTGTCCCTAAAGAGTGCAGGAGCCAATGCTGAGTCACCCCTCCACAGTGTTCCCAGTGGGGGTCCCCGCTTCCCTGGCCCTGGGGACCCTGAGGTTAATGGTGACAGTGCAAAAAGCAAACAGACACAGTAAATAAACACACACACACACACACACACACATATATACAAAAGGACAAAAAAGGTTTCTTAAAAAAAAAGTGGCAATTTTTTAATAAAACAACAGCTATAAATAAATGTAAATATAATAAGTGGATTTACTTGCAAGAAAAACAGATAGTATTTTTTTCTTTTCACTTTTGTTTCCTCCAGCTTTAAACTGTGAAAAAAAAAAAAGGAAAA